TTGTTAATTTAATTCTCATTTGTACCCTTGATAATGGCGTCATGAGGTCGCCGAAACGTCGGGAGATTATATCGTTTGTTTTTACTTGTCTATGTATTTGTCAGGTTTACTGCCAAAATTGATTTGGACAGGGAAATATCAGAGTCAAGAACGAACCATTTGTGACATTTTGTACATAAAGTGCTGGATATTTATCAAATATTTTGGAATAGTAGATCGACGAACAATACGTGATGTCTATATCAATGTAATGCCTCTTTGAACACCTGGCCAAAAATCCGCTCGGCTTTTTACATGTGTCTGGAAAGAAATGACACTTTTTGACCGGTCTAAATAAGCGTATAGTAAAGAAAGAAAGATAATCTTTTATTGTAAACACTGGTGAAGCAAAAATGTACATACATCATTCTTCCCTTAAACTCATTTAAGCCAAAAAACCTTGGAAGAAAAAATATTTTTTTCATTTGTTGGAGGCAAAAGGCTTATTTCGCTTTTTCCTTGTGATCATTGCCATCAGACTAACCTTTCGTGTTTACAAAAACTATATGAACGTTCAGTCGGGGAGACATTTTTCGTTCCTTTTGAAAATCCCCCAAGCATCACTGGAATATACAGTTTCGAACTTGTATTTTCCAGTCAGAAGTTATCAAGTCATGTTGCTCAGCAAAAAATCTTGCGAGAACCGCAGGCTCCATTCATAATCTCCAGTGTAATTTGTTTTTCCTCCTATGGATTAGAAAGAAAAATATGCTGGATAATTGGTTTTACACGTTTTCGGTTTCTCTTACGCCGGAGAAATTTGAAAACGGCTTTTTCACTCTGAAAATTAACGCATCAAATGTTTTTCGTCCACACTGCGCCAGAGAAATTTGAAAACGCAACGATTACCGATCATTTTGGATTTGTGTTTGAGGAAGACTCGGTCAGGGAAATCACATGATTATCGTGACGTCATCGTTTTCGAAAAATTCCGTTTTCAAAACGTTTTCTTTCCACACTAAAACGCAAAGCCGGCGTTTTCAAATTCCTCCGGTTTGAAGAGTGCTTTTGAAAAGCTCCGTTTTCGGTCCGGATTAGTGTGGACGGTAGGCCTAATCTTAGAAATAAAGCTGCGCTTTCAAATTTCTCCGGGGTAGTGACGTGGATGCACGGGATCTAAAATGTAATTTATGAGCGTCGGAGAACGGGTTTAAGCGCGTTTCTTTCCAATTTCATGGAAATGAGTTGTAGTCAGTAGTCTTTTTGACATTACTTGTTTATTGTTGTTGTTGGTTCTTTTTGACATGCCCTGCACCTAGTTCCTCTCCCGTAACTGTCCTTGCCACCGCTCTTAATTTTATCTGACTGATTTTATTTACACTATTAGTAATTAATTAGATTTACAATTAGATTTTGGGTTGCGCCTTGCAGGGATACTTTTCCCGTTGGCGCATTACTTTTGGTCTTTTCATTTCTGCCATTGATTTACTATTTAACAAATAGATTCCATGTTGCCGTGCGTCTGTTCAGTAATAGATCACAGATGACGTCAAAAT